CCAAAACCCCAAAACCCCAAAACCCCAAAACCCCAAAACCCCAAAACCCCACAGTGAAAAATGATTTAAAAATGAAATATTAGGTAAATACATAAGATTGCAGAATACATTATTTATATCCCTCAGAATTTATACTAGGTGACATCATTGAGAAGAGTCTGAGCCATCCTAAGTGATGCTATTTCTTTTTTCCTCTGCTCTCTAGTCTAAGAAACTACTGGATCCTCAACCAATAATTCATCGAGGTTTCCAATCTTATAGATTTCACCTACGAGTTCTCTCTAAGCAATATTTCTGCTTTCATTTACTAGGAAAGCCATAATTGTCTTAGGCACTAAATCTGCTATATTTTTCTTCACTATTGCGAAGTAACTCTGAATAAGATTTTGTATGATTATAGTCTCCATTATAATTCTGGGGTTTTCATCATTGGAATTTGCTCTCATTTTGCTTGGAATAGCAGGCAAAAGCACAGGGGGCAAATTACTCTTGTCATAGTGAGCTTATTCAACCCCAAATCTCTGCAAAATCTCAAATTCTTCTCTCTACTATCTTTACTTTATTTGGGCTTGCTACATTTTATTTCTCTTTTAGATTTGTTCTAAATCCTTATCACTGTTATCTATCAATTCACTTTAGTTCAAATTGTTACCTTTAGTCTAATTTTAATTGTTTCCACCAAAGAACCCAAAGAAATAGCCTCCTTTTTCTTGTTACTACTATTATTATTATTGAGACACCTTCTCCTCTTCTTAATTGTTTTGTTGCTTGCTATTGACTGATGATTTGATCATTTATGATTAATTCAATCCACTTTGACCCTTTTTATTTTCTTCTTTAGGATTGTTCCCTTCCTACTAACCTCCTTTACCCTTGTTTAAAAGAGTGAATTATTTTTACTATTGATTTGGCTCTTCCATTGGTGGGTTCATTTATTGCTCTCTTTCACCTGAAAATAAATTGAGCAGAGTATCTGCACTTCCTACAAAGTCAGGATGATTCGTATTTATATGAGCGTTTTCAATTTCGATCAATTATATGATCATATCTGAAGTAGGAGTTAGACATTTATCAAGTACGTTCTCCATTACATCACAAATTTTATATTTTAACCTTTAGAATCTATTGATGTCCTAGAAATCTATCTTTCCAACTATATCTCTTAGCTCTTTGTAAACTTTCCTTGCACACTCAACTGATGGTTCAAGCAATCTAGCTATTTGCTGTCTTACTAGTACTTCGAATGCAACTTCAGGAACAAAAAGACTGGGTGATAATGCTTGTGCATTTTTTATGGCTGTTTAAATATCCTGCTCAGTCAAATATTAGAAGGGGTCAATATCTCTAATAGATTTCACGAATATGTTGTGAAAAATGTAGTTGATTCTAGAACCACCAAAGCAATCTACTGCGCTTTCTTTGACAAATTTACCCTCAATCATATCTCCATAAGTTTGAGTGAATTTGTTTATAAGATTTAAGACGATAGGACCTTTATCACCATCAATCGAAATACTATTCATTTCTAGCTAGACTAAATCCATTTCTTTGCTCTGCAGTAATTCATTAATTTGTCTTGATAGCTAAGGAATACATTTAATTATATGAGTACACAATATTCTATTTAGGCTCTCAGACAAAAATCCAACTCCCAATCTATCTGAGTGATTCTAATAAATAGGGTGAGTTGAGAAAAATTCTCTTTCATTCTTTATGGCATCTCTAATGCTTATATTTTGATCAATTTATTTTTAAGATCTGCACTTAACTCCATAGTAGCCTAGTTTTAGGTTATAAATCTTTCCCTGCAGAAGATCAAGGGCATCAGTACCCTAGTCCATAAGATCTATTTTAGTAACGACACCGATAGTTCTTTCTCCTTCTGGATCTACTTCTCTGGCCATCTTAAGAGCATCAGAATTGGCCAAATCTGTGTTTGCTGCTGTTAATGCGAGAATTAGAGAGTTTTATTGCAAAATGTACTTGTAAGTAATTCTCTTGATTTATTCTTCAATGTCTTGGGGTTACCCTCTAATTGGTACTTTAGTTATACCTGGCAAATCTACAAGGGTAAGGTCTACAACATTTGGAGAGTATATTGTCAAACTAATAGGTTCATCAGAGATATTTTTGTCTGACCCAGCAATTCTATTGGTTTGCTCTTCAATTTCAGTTCTGATTTTTGCAAAATCGAAGTATTTTTCTCCTTTTCTGTGCAAAAACTCTCCATACTCAGTATTATTACTAGCTGATATTCCCTCAGTTCCATTTTGATTCTGCTTTTTAATCAATTCTTATGGCATTACTCTCCTAAGTTAAAGCACCAGAGGGCATCTTGTGACTATGCCAGATCCTCTAGGCAAGAAGTCCCTTCCCACTATTGATTCTAATACAGATGATTTTCCTGTTGACTAAGATCCTACTACTACTATTTGGGGAAGTTCAATCTAATTTCTGACGTTAATAACGTTGAAGGCATCTTAAAGCTTCATCATCATTGGTATCAATTTCTCCATTTTGCTACAATTATGATTCTATTGAAAGTTTCTATTTATTGATGGTCAAATAAATTATTAATTATAAAATTTGATTAAAGTAAAGTAGGTTAAATCAATAAACCTGAGAAATTAGAAGGCACATTTTAATTATTAAAGTTCAATTTTAAAATATGAAAATTAACTCATCTTTCAACTCCAAAAACTACTACTCCAATACAACGAACCAAAATCCTGCAAATAAGTCTATCAATTATTAGACTATAGCTGGAGGAGTAAATCAGTATCTAAATGTGAGTACTGTTGCTGATAAGCGTAGAACTATGTCAAATACCAGAGGGGTCCCTCCTCAGAGCTATAACTTTAGTACTCTCCAGCAAGCACTTGAATCTCCTAGAATGATCACAAGTAGTAAGAATCAAAGGGTACTTAAAAACAACAGAAGTAAAGATCTAGTCAATCAAACAATCTAGCCTTGCTACAATAGAGAAGAGTTTCAGTCTGTAAGTATAATCTCTCAACTATATAATAATTCATCGTAGATTGCAGCGAACACTAACTTTAATAATCGGTATGATGAGCTTGAGAGGGCACTTTCTTATAACATACTCAAGTAAGTTAATCTTCATAGATAAAAATCAATCATCCTATCAAATTTAAATTTAGGACTCATAAGACTATATAATAAGTTGAGAAGGAATGCGAGATTAGAATTTTACAAGAAAAATAGCGATTCAAAGACAAGGAAAATGACAACAAGATGAAAATCAAACAGCTTGTTAGCAAGATTGAAAGCGAAAAAGATAAGAGACTATTTGACTTGACTAACTATACTGAACTCAAGAAAAAAGTAAGCATTCTTATCTTATATGTCTTGTGATTATTAACTTTATGATTGTAGAACCTTGAGCTTAGAAAAAGAATAAGCGAGCTAATATTTGAAAATAATCAAGTTTAAAATCAAAATCAGCAATTACTTCAGCAAGTTCAAGGCTAGTAAAGAAATCAAGAGCAATTTCAGTCCTAGTATCAATAGATGCAGCAGTAGTTATCTCAAATATAACAGAAAATGACAAAGAAAATACTTAAAAGAGAGACTAAAATCGATGAAATGACTGATCAAAATGCAAAGGAGGTCAGGAAGCTATAGAAAGAGCTATAAATATTGTAACAATAGAACAAAGAAATTGAATTTGAGTTATATTCCTACAAAAAATAGGGTTAAGTCTCTATGTAGGATTAGACTATTTATGAGGAAAGGATCAAATAGCTTTTATTAGACTTGGAAACACAATCTAAGAAGTATATAAACGAGGTTAATGGGCTTCATGACTATTACAGATAGTTTGTGAATCGATCTAGTGAATTAGAGGAGAAAATAAGAATATACCAGTAGGATTGTGAAAGTGCAGTTTCTAATGAAAGGGAAATTAGAAAGGAAAATGTCAGAGTTAAACTTTAAATTGATGAACTAATAAAGAAAGTAAAAATACTCTAGAAATAGTAATAAGAGTAGCCGTCACCTTAGTAGTGTAAGAAATGCATAAACTTTTAGACTATCAATTACAGTCAGAAGTAAAAAAGACCTGAAATTATTCAGTAGAAATAGGAGCCAGATGAAGTTAGTGAAGTCATTAATTAAAAGAATCACAAAAAAGCAAATAATTAGCAAGACTCATAATCACCAAAGCCAGAATATAAAAGGAGAAGAGAGGCTTCATCCTAATAAGATTAATAGATTTTGTAACGACTAGTTGATAAAATTTAACATGATTCTGCTCTATACAATGGCCACATTAGAAGAAAATTCTCTCTCTAAAACATTCTATTTAAAGGTAATAAACTGATTAGCAAGAATTAGATGATGGATGAACTTTAAGACTATGATAACCTTATTAAGGCAATGGGAGCATTATTTTATGCAAGTAAAAGAGCATAAGATTAGATTCCATGTATATTTTAGGCTTGGAAAGAGTTTTCTTTTGAACAAAGGGCAGGTAAGATAAGAAACTTGCTTTCAGAGTCATAGATTCATCAACCTAAATAAGGCAATAACAACCAAATGAGTGGTACTCAGCAGCATCTAAATGACCTGGGAAGTCAAGGTATGACTATTTAATATGATAATAATCAATCAGAGGACTATTATGAGGATAATGAGGACTTCAATGCAGCTGAAGAGGAGGAATTCATGAAAATTTAAGATTCTAATCAGTCTTATTCAATTTTGCCAGCAAACAATCTCAAAGCAGAGCATTTGGGAAACAACAGCCAGTATGAAGATGGGGAGGATGAAGATATTAGTATTGACGATGATGAAGATGATGTTTAAGAACAAAATGAGGATGAGGAGAAGTAAAAACAAAGATGGGATTTCAATGAAGATGATCCAGAAGTCTAAAATGCAAAACTCCTAGAGAAGTATGCATAGATGCAAGGAGCAAATATGCAAGAAATGATGGGAGGAAGCATGCAAGATGAGGAAAATGATTAACAAATGATATTCGTTGATGAAGACGGAAGAGAAATAGATCATTAGACAGTTATGATGATGATGGGCTAAGAAGGGCTTATCTAGGGTGAAGATGGCAAACTATACTATGAGGGCTATGAAGAAGATGATGATGCTTAACAAGTTGAAGAACTTGAGGACGAGGTATATTAAGATATTATCACTGCAGACGATTATATCAACGATGATGAGGAAGAGAAGGCTAAATTAATACAAGAAAAATAAAGAAAAAAGGAAAAAATACTGTATCAGCCAAGTACTTCTAATGAAGGGAGTGCTCAAAGAAAAGCTGGCAAAAAGGTTTAACAACTAGCTTATTATGAGGAGATGGATGAAGATGGAAACTTGTACTTGTATGAGAAGAGATGATATTAATTTGTTACTCTACTTTTAATTGACTAATTTTGAATTTTTTTTCTATCAAAACTTAAGTATCTAGTAAATTCAATCTAGGGGGTTTTGGGGTTTTGGGG